AAGCAGAGTTTATTTGAACCCAATCCGGGTTCATATAAAACCAAATTGGGTTCACTTAACCCAATCCAGGACCAAGTAAATACAAATTGGGTTCATTTCAACCCAACCTGGGTACAAGTAAACCCAAGCTAGATTCACCTAAATTTCAATTCAGGTTCAAGTGAACCCAAGATAGGCCTACTTGAACCTGTTCAAGTTCACTTAAACCCAACACGAATACAAGTGAACCCAAGTTTGGTTCACTTGAACTAGGTTCAAGCCAAGTCAGTTTCATTTCAATTAAAATATTTTAAAATAAGAAAAATTAAAACTGCGTGCCCGGGGCATTGCCCGGGTTTAAGAGCTAGTAAATAATAGAAAAAAAATTATTGATAACGTAGATATTTTTGTTGAAGAGTTAATTTTTCGGGCAAATCGAAATTCAAAATTTTTGGCTTAGATGGAAGAGATGATGTTGAAAAGATCCAAATTTCATTGTTACCGCAACACGTAAAGCTGACGATAAAATTTGGTGGAGGGTCTGTAATTATATAGGACTTATGGGCGGGTACAGTGTTGGAAAGTATTGTAGAATTGAGGGAAACATGAATAAGTCGTTGTATTGTAAAATAATAAAAAATGAGTTCATGGCAAATGGTGTTTGAAAAAAGATGAGATCATTTTTCAATACGACAATGACTTGAAACTCATGTCACCAACTGGTTGGATGAAAATGGGATTAAAATTTTGGATTATCTGCCGTACTCTCCCGACATAAATTCCAACGAACATTATGAGATGAAGTTGATCGTTGTTTGCGGCAACTTCCTGGTAATATTAGTAGTGAGACAGAGATGTGGAATGAGATCGATAAAGATTACTGTATCAAGCTAATTAACACAATGCCGCAACAGAATTAAAGATATACTTAAAGTTAAAGGAGGGTATTGTTACAGTTAGGGGAGAGACTTTAGAACAATGTAGCCAATTTAGCAGAGGACTGCAAGCATTAAGGGAAGAATCAAGTGTTTATTTTATTTATACGAAATACTGAAAGATGAGTCTTCTCTATTTATTCCAAGAGGTACTCCCAGAGTACTAACCAACTAACCTACTAAACTAAGAACCAACTTATCAACCAAAAAGACTAAAAGACTAAAGAGAACTAAAAAGAGCTAAAAGAACTATCTTTCTCTCTTTTCCCTTTTATACCTCCTTCTCTTACGACCATTGTTCCAACGATTACTACACTAATGACTATTTAATGACTACATTCCTTATACGCATGCACTAAATACTATGCTGTCAACTCTTCCTGCATAACAGATTGTTTACTAATTGCATACTTCCTGCATCTTTACTAATTACTACATATTACTATCTAATTGCATATTGAAAATGTAATTGTTACACAATAGAGACCCGGTTCCGTAACAGTATACAGGATGGTAAAACTTATAATAATAAACAATTTCAAATCTACTTGAATAAGGTTATGTAAATTTTTTTTGCTTACGCCAAAATTATTGTTCTACAAAGTTTTTGAAAAATTTTTTTTTTTTTTTAATAAATTAAAATGTTTAAGAAAATTTTTGAATTGTAAAAGAAGTTGGTTATCTAAATACTCAGATCATATGCTTTGTAAATGTGAAATACAGTATTGTGATTTAAAAATGTTAAATGAAGTGGAATAATAATTATGATAGTCCGTGTATAAGTTTATTAATTAAAGAAGTGTGCGTATAAGGAAACTATTATTCATTATTAGTTTATTATTGAGTTGCGAACTAATGATTTCCAGAGGGATATCGTGACTATTTACACATTTCAATCGAGTATAAACTTTGAATATTACATCTATCGGTTATAGTTATATCTATTCTATGGGATAATTTATGTTTGATATAATGTAACTACCGTAAAAGTGCATATACAAGACCAACCAAAATAGTAGACCCACCGTGAATCAGACCCGGGTCTATAACCTGGATAAAATTTTGGTAATATGAAATAGACCTGGGTATATTATAGGAAACAATGATTAGAAGACCCGGTATGATATTAGAACATCATATATATTACATAAATTCTATAAGTTTTTGACTTCCCCACATAAAAGCCTCCCCCGATTATCAGACCAATGCCTATACAACAGACCCCCGGGTCTATTAAAGGTTTTAAAATTGGTAGAATGTACCAGACCCGGGTCTTGTATATGCACTTTTACGGTAATACATGTAATATGGCTATAAATATAATGAAAGATAAAAGATATAAAATATACAAAAAGTTTTCGACAAATGTATTAGAACTACTGTATTAGTAATCTTGGCATTTCTGCTACATTGCTGTTAAGTGTCATGTTATTGGTTAGCAGTACGTACGTGCGTATGTAGCCCTTTCAAAATTTATTTATTTATGCCAGTAATAAATACAGTTTTTTAAACAGATACTTGAAAAGATTTTTTTTTTTAATCTACATGAGTTTTGATTACGTATACAAATTTATATATCTGAAATATTAAAATATGTAAAATACAGTACGTTAAGGTTTTATGTGAAGATTTAAATCTTTGAGATTTTACGAAAAATTATTGTTGATAAAAATAAATATGTGAAGATAGAAGTTTAGTTCTTATTTTAAAATTTCATTTTATTTATGTATTATGATCAATTTAAATGATAGTTGTGTTCAAAATAATCACAATTTAAGTTATTTTATTAGATATTACTTATATAAATTTGAAGAAAAACTAAATTGTTATCGCCTATATAAAAACTTTTACTGCCAACTCTCTTTATAATAACCGAACTGACAATTCTTATAATTCTTCGTATTGTGCAATTTAATACTATTTTTGCTATACAGTAACATTTGATATCATATGATTATTCATGCGTTTTTTTTTTTTTTTATAATTCTGACTTTTAATTACGATGCGAGCTACATTTATTACAAGCGATACTAGGACGCCATGAAAAAGTAAATAAATCATTTATTCTGTAGCAATTAGGTTTTTAAACATGTTGACTTTATTTGAAATTTCTTTATGAAAAAATTTAAATCAACCTCTATTAAGTATATGAGTTTGGACTCGGACAATGTATTATTAATCTTCGGTTTGAAACTAAATTGCCTAATTTCACCGGTTGCACCTTTGAAATTAGCTTGGCTGTTATAAGTAGTTTTACCAGTTATTCACTAGTTGCACCAAAATTTTATAGGATGTCAACTTATATTTAATTTTCCATACGCGTTTTACCATCCCAGTCATAATTAACCTCCATGACACTTGAAAGACACTTGGAATTCTGTCTTATTACAGTATTATTCATTGTTTTTTAATAATAAATGAATTAATATAGCTAAATACGCAATATAGTTTGTTTAAATATTATAACATCATAATACTGTAATTAGGGAAATTTTTACATTACATAGATGACGATCTATATTAAATAATTTTGCAAAAAGGAAATAACATCAAGTACAGTAATTTCAACTAATTCATTAATCCATTCATTTATTCATTCATTAATCCATTCATTTATTCATTCATTAATCCATTCATTTATTCATTCATTAATCCATTCATTTATTCATTCATTTATTCATTCATTTTGAAAATTTATTTATTACTAGAAATAATAAAGAGCCGAGACAAAATCTAGTCATCTATATTTTATGCTAATCTTGTAATGTATCATTTACTTAATGATTAATCTAAATTAATCTACAAAACTATCTTTTTATAAAGCAACGTAGTATTTTATACTTATAAAATATTTTTCTATTATTAACCTTCTTGAATAGGAATAATAGGAATAGAAAGCTTTTCGATGCATTCAACTTGAAAGACTTCATATTCTGAGATCGTAAGTGTATGTGAGGTCACCATTTTAGGGTAGGATTTTGCTTTATATTTCAAAGTATAGCTATTACTTGTAATATGAAAATCGGGTCCTTCTCCAAAACTTGGTCCACAATCACCGTCGCAATAGATTGCATAACAACTGTGATTATTATGAATACGGGATACTACTCCTCCTTTGATGTCTTTACAATCTAAGACGAATAAGAAACTATCCGTTGTTTGTTTCCACTCAGCTCCACTCCAATCAAGTGGATTGTAACCACCAATGAGCAAGTCTGTATTTTTTATTTTGGCAACTACAATCGTTGCTCCTTTGTTATCGCAATTACGATGAAAGTTTTGAGACGAAAGCCCATCCAAACTACTCTTGAAAAGTAGATTAAAATGATATTTGAATCCTTTGGACATCTCTTCATCAAGTGTTTTCTTATCTATCCATTTTGTCATCATTAACGCGATTTCCTTATCAATTAATTCGGATTCCATTTTAAAGTTACCCCATCTAATTAAAAATGCGTGGTACATTGGTCTTGCGTCTGAATCCAAATAACAACGTATTATATCTTCAATTAAATTATCTGGCAGAAGGTGCTTATACGTCCATACTTCAGGTACGAATTCCTTTCGATCTATTTGATGAAATCTAATAAGCTTAATCAATTCGCGTAATGTCTCTTCTAATATATTAGCGTTTTCATTCTTGGTGTCTTCACACATCATGTTATTTTCAATTGCCGTACATTGTGCCATTCCCCATTTGATTATTTGTTTCCAAATAATACTTTCTTTCATGTCAAGATTATCACATTCGAGAATTAATTTTAGCGCTTCTTCCTCTAATAAAAGGAATTCCTCGGAGTCAAATAGTAATTTGGGATTTTCGCAAATAGTTTCCAAATAAGCGTCTTTAAGTTCATTAAATTGCTTATTATGTGTAATGAAACTTAACATTCTGACGAGTCTTGATTGTAAAAATTTACAACTATTTTTGATTAAAAATTCTTGAATAAAATCGATGAGCCTTTGAATTAAAAGTTCGTCTGCAGCAATCAAAAGTTCTAAGATTGTTTCATTTTCTTGATTTTCCAAATCTACTACTCCACAATACAAAAACCTATTTATACAATTTAGTATTAAAAATTGTTATAAAATTTTAATATAAAAAAATTTTTTTATATCATATTACTTACTTAAGAATAATTTTAAATGTTAATGCGCTTATATTGGGTTTAGATAAAACCAAATAACCTTCACTTCTTTCAGCCCATTTATTAGATAAAGCACTACGAAAATAAGGTGATCTAGTACATAGAATTACAGAGTGGGCATAAACTTGTTCAATATTTGGTTCTTCACCAACGGTAATAATCGTGTCATAATGTTCTTTGGATTCATATAGACTTTTAAAATCTTCTACTAAGTCTTTGGAAAATGTTTTGGACATTATGGTATTGTCTAAATTTTGTTTACTATATTTACTTTATTTACTGTATTTAGTGTATTAGGTATGGCTGTCACGATGAAAGTAACACTTCTAAGATTATCGTCAATTGTGTTTATATTTTTCGCATTTTTCGCGTTTTTCTTATCCTAAAAAGGGTATTTGATCTACATATCGCATAAATTATATCCTTGATATCTATATAAACTACTAACCATAATTACATCAAAAAAGTAATTCTAACGCACCTGGCTTTAACGTCCCCCGAAAAAGGAAATTACCCAGATCTTGACCCTGAAAATCACCTTACGATAAAATACCCGGTTTGTATTTACGCCTATGTAACCTTTATTGATTCTAATAGTTAATTCATTGAATTAATAAAGGTAATTTACATATAAATACAAAACTGTTTAAAACCACCTTCTGCGCCTTACCTGTAACAAAAATTTCTTTTATTTTCTTGAAGACTCATCCTAAAATTAAAGATGATTTGCAGTTTATTTGACAACTGTAATTTAGCGCAAATTTCGGAATCAATATCGATATCAATATCGTCATGCTACGTATCATAACTGTCATCGACAATATTTAATATTATTAACTAGAAAAACAGTGACGTTCTATTGGGGTGTTCGATATACTATTTAAATCAAAATCATATATGGTATAGAACGATTTCTTTAAAATAAAATTGTAATAATCATTAATATAAAATTATTACCTATATAATAAAAAACGGCATACAATACCCCCAATTTTGTTATTACCCCTGTAAATTAAAATTTGTTAAAATTTTAAAACTTTGAGCAAAGATATTTCCGACACTCACCAGGTAAATTCCGTTGATGTTAGATCAGTTGAGTGTTGTG